TGTGTGTGTGTGTGTGTGTGTGTGTATGTATGTGTGTGCATGTGTGCTGGGGATTGAACCCCCAGAAGTGTTCTATCACTGAGTCGCATCCCCATCCCTTTAAATTTTTTATTTTTAAGACAGGGTCTCACTAGGTGCTTAGGACCTTTCTAAGTTTCTGAGGCTGGCTTTGAAATGGCAATTCTCCTGCCTCAGCCTCCTGAGTCACTGGAATTATAGGTGTATGCCACCACATCTGGCCTTTCAGAATTTTTCTATTGAGCAAGGTAAAAATGGAAGGGTTTTTTTCCTTTCCTATGTGAATGTCTAATTGTTAGTTCGCCGGGTATCAGTTGATTTGGGCATAGTTTTAATAAAGAAATAAATATGAACTATCTTTACCTAATAGAAATATTTTGGGATGCTATGAAAGACAGACATATAAAAACATAAATTTCAATATGGTATAATGGTTGGAACTATAACTACATATAGCTTACTATTCAGATCTTGACTCTGCTGCCATCCTGGCACAAAGAGTTCCATAAGTGGTGGCTGTTATTCTATACTGAATCGGACATTGGACATTGAATAAGGCAGTTAGTTTCAGAAGGATGATAAAATATCAAATAAGGATATTTTATTTATCCCATTTTTAAGATGAAGAAACCATTGTAGAGGGAGGCTAAATAATTCACCAAAGGCACACTGCTGGAAAAATTTTCAGCATGTTTAAAATTAGCTTCATATCTCAAAATGTTTGTTTTAGGTTGAGTCTAGTGTGTGTAGCAGTATGCTAGACACTTGAATATTTTTTTCATAACAGGTAAATCTGCAGTGTTTGTGTTTCCATTGTACTCTTCTACCTAGTGAGTTCTTGTTAATTTTATAAGATTGTATGTAACAGCCAGGTATGGTGACACATGTCTTGTGTTTGGAAGGCTGAGGCAAGAGGATCATAAGTTCAAGGTTAGCCTTTGCAACTTGGTAAGACTCTTTCTCAAAAGAAAGCGGGGGGGGGGGATGGAGGTGTAGCTCAGTGTAAAACACTCCTGGCTTCAACCCCCAGTACCCCCAATAAAAGATTGGATAAAAGAAATTTCAATTTTGTAAGTAAAAAATTGTCAAATACTGGCATTTTCATTGATTTTTTTCATAAATATTAACAGGATAAATTAAAGGGCCATTCATTCACCATGTTCTTGTCACTGTGCTTAGTTTTAAGATGTATAGTCCTTAAGGAGCACACAGATGAATAGAGATCAGTTTAAGCCAATGATTGCAACTTTATATGATAATTAAAATAATATTGTATATAGAATAGTGAGAGAATGGCTCTTCTTTAATCTGGGAGTAAAAGGGTGCACTTCAAGAAGAAAAATTTGAGACATTTGATGTTTTATAGGTGTGGGTTTTATTATCTAAAATTATTGATGTTACTACAGCCACTAGGTGGAACTTTCAAAAGAACACTTAAATGATGATGAGCATACTATTAGACCATCAACTAATATTTATCTGAGACAGCGTCATGTTCATTGCAGTTTCAGAGCAGTGTGATTTTTCTGGGTAGATTTGGAAACTTCAAAAGTAATTGCTGGAATTTATTGAACAGCATTTTTAGAAGTTCAGACTATTAGGTCTATACATTTATTTAAAATGTTCTGAGTCACTATTTCATGTAGTCTTTAAATGTATCCTTAACTTTTCTCAAAGTTTCCATCATAGATGGTTATTATAAAGACTCAAACAAATTCATGGCCGTTTGGGTGTTTCTTTGACAACTATTTTCCACCAATTTTGGGGCTTCGGGTGCTATAGAGACCCAGAACCATGAATCCAGGAAGAGTATATATATATATGCCTGCTGATTTTTTAAAAATGTTTTTTTTGTTGTTGTTGTTGTAGATGGATACAATATCTTTATTTTTATGTGGTGCTGTGGATTGAACCCAGGGCCTCACATGTGTGAGGCAAGTGCTCTACCACTGAGTTACAACCCCGCCCATGCCCACTGAGTTTTGCATAAAGTTTGGCCCAACTGCAGAATTCTTTTTCTGCTAACTGTATTAGAAAAGGCATTAAAAATAATGATACCCCACATAATCCTACTAGATTAGGAATCAATTGACATAATTATTGATCTAGTTATGCAATTTACCAGTAGGGTTGTTATGTGCAAGTACCTTAGAAATTCCTTGTTACCTCACAGGGTTGCTTTGAGCATTGTATGAGGTAATAATGAAATACATGTGTTTAACTGCAAAGTACATGTGAATTGTTATTAGTGTTATTTTAGATGAAGTCACAGGGACATTATTATTGATGTAATTTTTTTACAGTTATTTTTCCTAGCTTTTAAAAAAGAAAGTCAATACAGTTTTTATTCTTAAAGATGCTTTATTCAACAATGTGTGTTCAAGTAATTCAAAGTAAAATCTTCGAGTGTTTTTTGATTACATAAATGAATGTACTAAAAGCTAGCAGTATACCTTATCAAATGCTATTTAAAAGGCATTGTGTATATGTACACATTCATACACACCTGTCTCCTTGTGTTTTCTTTTTTTTTTTTTAAGAGAGTGAGAAAAGAGAGAGAGAGAGAGAGAGAGAGAATTTTTAATATTTATTTTTTAGTTCTCGGCGGACACAGCATCTTTGTTGGTATGTGGTGCTGAGGATCGAACCCGGGCTGCACGCATGCCAGGCGAGCGCGCTACCGCTTGAGCCACATCCCCAGCCCTCCTTGTGTTTTCTTTACCCCTGTCCTTATGATGTTTAAATGAATGTGTATTTGGAATTGTTTTTTCTTAGATGGAGATGGAGATGGTGATGGAGCAACTGGAAAGAAGAAGAAAAAGAAGAAGAAGAAGAGAGGACGTTAGTATCTTAAGTTAATCTTACTTGGTAATACTAATTTTTAACCAACAGGTTTGAAGAGTAGTTTAGAAGTTTAAGGTCCTAATACACGTCAGAGAAACAAATTTAGGTTAATAGAGGTAAAATTTAGTGAAACTAATTATTATATAGCAAATATTTTAGTTTAACAAACTTTTTGGTGTTTTCTATAGTGTTTATGTAAGTTGGTTGCATTTAATCACAAGTTAGGGGTGAGTTCCTAAAAATTTTATAAATTAAAACTTGCATAATACAAAGAATAATTTTGTCAGGGATGGCTAAGTTGTTGCCCTATGTTGCAATACATATTATTATAGCTTATTTATAGTTTTATATAATTTGGGGGGCATAGCTCAGTGATAGAGCGCTTATCTGCCATGTATGAGGCCCTGGATTTGAACCCCCCCCCTCGTTCGCGCATGCTTGTGCACACGCACACATCCTCAAATACAGTACATTATGATACCAAATGTTTATCAGGATTTCATGTGACTTCTTTTTGTTATCTCATTTAACTGAGGCTTTTAGTTGTTTTGTCCTAGTCACAGCTAGTAATTGGTAAATGATAGACTTTAACTCTGCTCTGATATTTTCATTACAAATTCTCTCCCTCCCTCCCTTCTTTCCTTCCTTCCTTCTTCCTTTCTTTCTTCTTACTGGAGATTGAAACCAGGGGTGCATTACCACTTAGGCACTTCCTCAGTTTATTTTTTTATATAGAGACAGGGAAGTCTCCCGAAGTTACTAAGGCGGACCTAAAACTTGCAATCATATTGCCTAAGCCTCCTGAGTAGCTGGGATTACAGATGTGCACCTCCTCACCTGGCTATATTTTATTTTTTCTGGCTCTTTTTGAGATCTTTAACATTTTTTAATTCGTAGGCAATATAGAAGGCATATTTATTTGTAATAAAACTTTGACCAAAAAAAAAAAAAAGACCAGAATAACTAGTCTTTAATTGGTGATAATATTTAAACAAAAATCAAGATTTTTTTTTGAACCTAGGATAACTGTGATAATAACCTGCTAATAAGGTTATATAACCTGTTAATAAGCGGAAATTTTACAGATACAGATATAAAATTAATATAGGGTGATTGGGATCCTTAGGAGTTTGAGTGTGAGGAGTCTTAAGTTATTTCAATAACAATAGGATCCTTAGGAGTTTGAGTGTGAGGAGTCTTAAGTTATTTCAATAACAATAGGAATTATAAAACCCAAGGTATAGTCTTACACTAATTGTACCTAACTTGACACATTAATATAAGTCAGTTTTGGGTCCATTTAAAATAAACATTAACAAATTCAAGGCTGGCAAATTTGGATAAAAGTGATGAGATGGTCATATCCCTTAAAGTGGTTCCTCGTTGTAGGGAGGAATGAGTAGCAGTGGATAGTCAATTTTTTTTCTTTTTTAACTTCAAAGAATAAAGCTGGGACTAATAGAGGAACGTGACACAGAGAGAGAGAGAGATTAATATGGGACGAGTTTTCAGACAGTTACAGTGTTCCCAAAATGAATAAATATTAGCTTGAGAGATAGTGACTATCTCCACTGTCAGGATTTCAGCTTCATCTGTAAGGAGTGTTAGAGGATTCCTAGATTGAATGTGAAGCTCGATTAGGTAATCTCTAAATTTTTTTTCATTTTATAATTCTGTTTCCTCTTAGGAACATGAGGAGAAAGTGTTTCCCAGTTTTCCTTGCCCATATAACAGTTTTAAATGTTATCATGTAAAGAGAAAGAACCAGCTGGCACTCGTGAGATACTACTTTTGGATTGAAGGAGTGAGCCAAAAAATGGTTCCTTAGATAATAATTTGCCTCATTAAATGGTCATGTTTATGTGCCTTTTTTTCCCCTTTACAGAACAAAAAAAGGAAAATATGTGTAAAATTTAAGAAAAATTTCATAACATGAACCACTTACTCAGTAGTTGGTAAATGCTTCAGTTGTCTACACGGAAGGTCATATATTGCTGCATAAATTAGCTCTCGTGCAGCTTCTTGGTATTCCTTGGATATAGCATTCATTACTAAAAGGCAGGTCTTCATATAGTAAAGAACTACATGGTTAGTTCTTATGTATTTTTAAAAGTTTCAAGAGAAAAATTTATATTTTCTTAAAGCATTTTGGCGACTTTACAGGTTGAGTATCCCTTATCCAAAATGCTTGGGGACAGCTGTGTTTTGGATTTTTGAATTTTTTTTCCCCAGAGTTTGAACTACTTATTTGTACATAATGAGATATTTGGGAATAGGTCCCAAGTCTAAACAGAAGGTTCATTTTATGTTTCATATACACATTTCCTGAAGGTAATTTTATACAATATTTTTAGCGTGCTTGTGTTTTGACTGCACCCTGCCACATGAAATAAGGTGTAGAATTTTCCACTTATGGCAGTATCTCAGTGCTTAGAAAGTTTCAGATTTGGAGTGTTTTGGATTTTTAGATTAGGGATACTTAAACTTTCTACAATTTGAGAAATAATGTCTAAGATGTTTGCTAAGGGCTATAACTTTTTTCATGTATCTGGAGATTTTGCATATGGCTAACTCAAGATTTTTAGCATTGATAGTTTACGCTCTTAACTTTTACTAATTATTCCCTGGGAATAATAGTTTTTCACTTATTAATATGTAATAGGACTTCTTATTTTCTTGTTAATTTTCTTTGTGTGTGTGTGGGGGGGTGTTACTGGGGATTGAACTAAGAAGTACTCAGCCCTTGAGCTATATCCCCAGCCCTATTTTGTATTTTATTTAGAGACAGGGTCTCACTCAGTTACTTAGTGCCTCATTTTTGCTGTGGCTGGCTTTGAACTCATTATTCTCCTGTCTCAGCCTCCTGAGCCATTAGGATTATGAGCATGTGCCACCATGCCTGGCACTTTTTTGTTTTTTTATTTGTGAAAGCCACCTTCTGTGCTCTTATATCTCTGGTACAGTAAGTGGGGTTGAAAACATTAGAAGTGTGCTTTTTCTACCAAAGTATATGATGTTTTTATATGTTTTAAATACATAATGGAATCTTGAGGAGTTAAAGATGTCTTTTTTATTTTTTCATTGATTCTAATTAGGTAAATATGATAGCAGAGTGCATTGATTCAATGTATACAATTGCAGCACAGCTTTTCTTTTGGTTGTACACTATGTAGATGTAGCGTCACACCATGCAGTCACACAGTATCTATGGTATTAAGATCATTCCACCATGTAGCAGTAAGTCAGGAAATGGCCTGCATGTTGAAGTGTCTTTTTTTTTTTTTTAAGAGAGAGAGAATTTTTTTAATATTTATTTTTTAGTTATCGGCGGGCACAACATCTTTGTTTGTATGTGGTGCTGAGGATTGAACCCAGGCCACACGCATGCGAGGCGAGCATGCTACTGCTTGAGCCACATCCCCAGCCCAGTGTCTTCTGTTTTTAACTGTAATATGACATCGGGGAAATTAAAATGAGGAGATATAACAATCATTAGAACAGAGAAAGCTATAATGACTGCTTACTTTTATATTTAATTATAGAAGTTAACACTTTATTTGTGTTTCACAGCAAGAGTTCAAACAGACCCTCCCTCAGTACCGATATGTGACCTGTATCCTAATGGAGTATTTCCCAAAGGACAAGAGTGTGAATACCCACCCACTCAAGATGGGTAAGGATCATAAAACAACTTCTAGTTTGACTTTTGGCAATTTTAGTTTAGCAATCAAGCAGGTTTGATTTTTATCTAGACTTTGAACTACTGTTTTATTATTAAAAGCTTATGAATTTGTATACAGTAGAAGCCCTCTTATCCAAAATGATTGGGACCTCTTGCAGGTTGAAAAAAAAGTGGGACTCTCCCCCCAAATAAATCTTTTTAGATAAAGGGTAATTTAAATTTGTTTTTCACTTCTCAGTATTTTGGCATGGACTTGCATTGGATTTCACTTTTTTCCTTCATAAACTATTCATAATGCATTACCTATGATGTCTATGTTGGATTTCTCTGGAGAGGAGTAAGAAAGAACCAAGTGAGCTGAGGATGTCTGTATCTTTACATTTTTCCCCCAAAACATTTAAATTTAATCTTATCTAGAGTTATTTTGACAAAAGTGTTTTTATTTTGTTTGGTTTTTGATGCTGGGGATTAAACCTGGGGGCCTCTACCATTGAGCCACACCCCCAACCCATATATATTTTATTTAGATTTTTTTTTTTCCCTTCCTGGAATTGAACCCAGGAGCACATTACCACTAAGCTATGTCTCTAGTCCTTTTTAGTTTTCATTTTGAGTTAAGGTCTTGCTAAATTGCTTAGGGCCTTGTTTTATTGCTGAGGCTGGCCTCAAACTTGTGATCCTCCTCTCTCAGCTTCACAATTCACTGAGATTATAAGTCTGAGCCACTGTGCCCCATTTGACAGAAGTATTTTTTGATGGTTTATCTTTATAGGAGACTTTCATTTTAGTTTTAGTTTTAACAAGTCATTTTAGTTTTCATAGAAACAGTTATTTTTATATAGTGTATTATTGAATTATATAATTACAGTAACAAGTACACAGGTTTGGAAACAAACTCTCCCAATTCTTAGAAAATTGTTTTGTGAGGATAGTTTCATCTGGTCAGCAGATGCTCATAGTGGTATTATGTAGACAGCATGGAAATTGGGACCAAACTACCTGTATTTAAATCCTAGTCCTAACAACCAGATTTGTGACTGGGGCAAGTAATTTATTGTGTCTGCTTTCATTTCCTCTTCTATATAATGCACACTTTGAAGATTGCTGTGAGGAACGATAACATATGTAATGCACTTAAACAAGTAACAGATGCATTGTGAGCATTAAGTAAATTAGCTGCTATTATTACTTCCAGCATAGTAACCTGTCAGCCACAAATATTCAGAATACCATGGTCATTTCAATCTGTTTTACAGAGGGAATCAAGAGCATTGAGTAAGCCGGGCGTGGTGGCTCATGCCTATAATCCCAGTGGATCGGGAGGCTGAGGCAGGAGATCGTGAGTTCAAAGCCAGTCTCAGCAACTTAGCCAGGCCCTAAGTAATTTAGTGAAACCCTGTCTCTAAACAATATATATGTCTCTAAACAGTATATGTGTGTGTGTATCTATAAATATGTTTAGAATGGGCTGGGGATGTGGCTCAGTAGTTAAGTGCTCCTGGGTTCAGTCCCTGGTATTAAAAAAAAAAAAAAGCATTGAGTGACTCAGTGGTTGCAATAGTTGGTTAAGAAAGCTTCTACTGTAGTTTTCTTTCTTTCTTTTTTTTTTTTTTATATAAAGACATCCTATTTTCCTTTAAACATAAAACATGATGTTAATTTCACTTCCTTTATTCCCAAATGTGAATATTATTAGGCATTAAATCTGTAAAATTTAGGATTTTATAGCACAGACATTTTTTCTTTGAATGTGAATTCACCATTTGCTATCCCTGTCTTAAAAGATGTACTTTTTAAAAAATACATTGTTTTAGTTGTTGATAGACCTTTATTTTATTCATTTGTTTATATGTGGTGCTGAGAATTGAACCCAATGCCTCACACATGTCAGGCAAGTGCTGTACTACTGAGCCACAAATGTCATAGATACATGCAATTATACATTAATCACATAAATTCTCATAGTACATATGTGGTCACATACACCTTTAAATTTATTTATTTATTTATTTTGCTTATTCCCTCTTCTTTCCCTTCCTTCTAGACTCATGTTAACCACCTAGCAGGTAGCTTTTCATATTTTTCTTTACTCAGATATGTATACATCTGTGTCTTTTTTATATAAGGGAGAATATTTTGTCACTGTTTTATAAAAATGGAATCATAGGCACACTTCCTTTACTTTTCTTATTCAGTGCTACCTCTTGAAAGTCTCTCCAAGTAATTAGAATAGTTCTATTATATTTTTTTTTTTTAAAGAGAGAGAGAGAATTTTTTTAATATTTATTTTTTAGTTTTCGGCGGACATAACATCTTTGTATGTGGTGCTGAGGATCGAACCCGGGCCGCACGCATGCAAGGCGAGCATGCTACCGCTTGAACCACATCCCCAGCCCCTCTATTATTATTTTTGAATACTTCATAATGTTCAGTGGTGTGAATGTATTATTTTATTCCACCAATCTGTAATTGACGGGCATTCTCTTTGTCTCTAGTATATTTTGCCACTATAAATCATTCAGCAGTTAATTCTGTCTAGGTAGGTATATATGTATTAAGTTAAAATAATTTTCAAAGAGTTGGATTATTTGTTGTTTTACATCTGGATTTTTTGTGTACTCATTTTCTTTCAAATGGATAGCTGGTTTATTGGTAAATAATTCATGCTACCAAATTAAATGACCATCTTTGTCATGTCATATATTCTTATATATAATGGAATTAATTTTTGAATTGTTTGTTATGCTTCACTGATCTATTTGTCTATTCTTATGCTATTTTAATATGATATTGAAACTTTAAAATAGGTCATAAACTTTGTAATATAATAAGTTGATAAGACAAATTATTCTCCCCAGTCACACACATACATACTGAAATGTCATTGTGAGAATTCTGATTAGAATCACATTGTTATTAGTTTCTGAAATTTGGCAGTTTTATTGCTGTTTTATCCATTGTCCTGGTATGCTGTTTTTCACTTATTCATTTTTTTTTCAGACTAATTTTATCTGTTTCTTGTTAAATTTGTTCTTAAATGTTTTATGGTTTTTGTTGCTGATATGAATGAATTTTTATGTGTTTTTTTAAAGTATTTTTTTTTAGTTGTAGATGGACACACTAGCTTCATTTTATTTGTTTATTTTTATGTAGTCCTAGGGATTAAACCCAGTGCCTCATGCATGCTAGGCAAGTGTTCTACCACTGAACCACAGCCCCAATGAAATGTTTTTATTCCATTTCTATATGCTTATTGTTAAGAGAAGAAAGTCATTGGTTTCCTCTGTTTGTTAACATAGTGTTAATAATTTAATGTGAGTCTTGTGGAATACTTGAAGTAACTTGTAGTGGGAATTGAACTCGGGGGCACTAAACCACTGAGCCACATCCCCAGCCCTATTTTGTATTTTATTTAGAGACAGGATCTCACTGAGTTGCTTATTCTTTTTAAAGGAAGGATCTTATCCTATTACTTTCTAGCCTGATGCTTTTACCAAATATAGATAGGATGGTCCATTGTATATTTTGAATAAAAATTGCTTAAATTTTCACTATTTCTGTAAAAGTAATTCATATACATTTAAATACTTATGGGGTTAAAACTGACTTTATATTGATGGTACCATATTATTTTGATTATCTGATAACATCAGTAAACAGATCTCAAATACATTTCCAAACAGAAAACAAGCCAAAGAATTCTGTGTGATCCTCTGCCAAATAGGACATCTCCTTGGGCCTTTGCAAATTAGAGGTGCTAGATATTGGCACACAAGTAGCAAAAACAGTAGGAAATGAATGTGGTAAACTTGATAGTAACACACAGAAGAGGTCAGGAAGCATTTTAGAGCATTAACTTAGAGGCCTGTAATATAGAGCAGACTTGGGTATATTTTTTCTATAAAGGAACGTGTACTAAATATTAGGTCTTGAGTGTTACTCAACTCTGTTTTAGCATGGAAGAGCTATCCACAGTACATAAATGAATAGGTACAGGAATGAAATTTTATGTACAAAACAGATACCAGGTTAGATTTAACTGAGAGCCGAAGTTGGCTGAGCCACTGGCTTAAGAGGCAAATAAGGGTAATTCCTTGAAGTAGCCTCCTTTGTGCTCTCGTAATCAATGAGTTGTGAGCTATATACACAATATTACTGAAGAATGTGTGGAGCTTAGACAGGTGCAGTGGTGAATGCCTACAACCTAGCATCTCAGGAGGCTAGGACGGGGGGTTTGCAAGTTCAAGGCCAGCTTGGGCAATTTAGCAAGACCCTGTCTCAAAATTAAAAAAAAAAAAAAATTAAAAAGGGATGGGAATGTGGCTCAGTGGTAGAGTGCCCCAAGATTTGATTCCCAGCACAGACCCTACCCACCCACCCCCAAATTATGAGGATGTTCTAAAAGATTTTTAAAAGATTTTTCATTCTAAAACAGTTACTATTTTTTAAAAATGTTCTGCTTAGAGGGAGTCAGTGGCTTTCATTCCTAGATATTAAATATAAAAATTTGTTAACCCTGGCAGTTTAAAAATGTGTGAGCCATTCCTTGAAGAGAAACATTACCTCCGGTATCTTATACAATCAGAAAAATCCTATACAAGCACATAGTATAATGTGTTTTGAGGATAGTGTAAACACATTTCCAGTTCAGGTCTTTGGATTAATAGTTAGCTCTTGCTATCATTGGGTTCTGTGCCTGTGGATTCATCCAAATACCAATCAAAAATATTTTTTAAAAAATATATCTGGAGTTAGAGATGTGACCCAATAGTAGAGCACTTGCTTACCATGTGAGAGGCCCTGGGTTTGATCCCTAGCACTGCAAAAAGAAAGAAAGAAAAAATATGGTGAACACGTACAATGACATAGTATAACACTTACATAGCATATACATTTTATTAGGAATTTTAAATAATCTAGAGATGACTTAAAGTATACAGGAGAATGCCCATTGGTTGTATGTATATACTACACTACATCACTTTGTATAAGGAGTTTGAGCGTTCAAGGATCTTGGTATCCCCAGGGCATTGGATTTGTTCTGGAACCAGTTCCCCAGATATGCAGGACAATTTTACTTCTCTCTTGGCTACTTTTTGTTGTAGTCTTTTGAAATCTGTAAGTATATATCACCTCCAGTGGAAGTAGGACCTTTTCTCTCCTACCTGCTTGGTTTCTAGAACTCTTATGTCTTTTCTGGTTTTCTCCTTTTTTTGTTATTTTATATTGCCAGTATATTAGTCTGACTATGAATGAAATCACTTGAGGTGTTTTTTCCCCTTAAGAATCTTAAAAAAATGTTTAACTTGATTTGGTTTGATTACAGGTGTGTGTTTTTGGTATTTCAGAAAGTTTGTTGACATACAGAAATTGAATGCATAATATCCTTTATCTAAAGTATCTTGTATTATTATCTCCCTCAGCTTTTATGCTTGTTCTGCTGTTTTTTTAAATGACTCATAGTATGCTATGCCTATTCTAAAGGCGAACAGCTGCTTGGAGAACTACAAGTGAAGAAAAGAAAGCATTAGATCAAGCTAGTGAAGAGATTTGGAATGATTTTCGAGAAGCTGCAGAAGCACATCGACAAGTTAGAAAATATGTTATGAGCTGGATCAAGCCTGGGATGACAATGATAGAAATCTGGTAAAAGGAATACGTTTTTGTAAGAACATGATAAAAAAATTTTTATTTAAATACTAACTCTGCAGTTATAATGTTTGGCTTTCCTTAACTGTTTGCTCATAAAACTATTTTTAAATAAAGATTCTATAATATCTACTAAGTTCTTGTATCAGTATAATGAGGAAACCAAAAGAGGAGCACACTTGTTTTGTACCGTGGTCTCTCTTTTTTTGCACGTGTATATTCAGGTGCACATGTATTCATTACTAATTTTTATATTCTGTGTAGTAATCTCTGATTTAATAATTCATAATAAAATAAAAATTCTTAGACACAAAGCATAATTATAGTGCAGTGAAGAAACCAATAAAATTATTTCCCTAATTTTTCACCTTGAGAAATTATTAGTATAAAAGACAGTTCTTTGATTTAGATAATTTAAAAAATATACATCATGAAAAAATAAAATCAACATTTAAACTTATCAGAAACTTATCTCCTACTAAATAAAATTGGATTGTTTTCTCCAGATATGAAATTTCTTTGTCTTTTATAGATGAGCTATTTTCATATCATAGTAGAAATTGTTACTTATTTATATCCAGAAAATACTGAGATTGTTCCCAAAAAGTAATGTAAGAGTTTTAGTAAACATTCTGGCCTTACTGATCTATAAGATATATAAAAGTAAGAATCTAAAAGTAAACAAATTTCATTTTCTTTTTGTTTAGTGAAAAGTTGGAAGACTGTTCACGCAAGCTAATAAAAGAGAATGGACTAAACGCAGGCCTGGCCTTTCCTACTGGGTGTTCTCTTAATAATTGTGCTGCCCATTATACTCCCAATGCTGGTGACACAACAGTATTGCAGTATGATGACATCTGTAAGATAGACTTTGGAACACATATAAGTGGTGAGTTCATGGATATAATTCCTATCTTTTACTCCACCCCCTCGGGAAAAAAACCAGCCACTCCAGATTTATAGTGTTAGATGGAACTATAAATATTGAACTTCCCAAATTCTGTTCTTGTCTCCTTTTCAGTAGAGATGTGTTGAGGGAGATTTTTTCTTTTCCTTTAAAGCATCCAACTGAAAATCAAGTCTATTGGGTAATCAAGGTTTATTTTCTTTTTATTGAAGCATGGAAAGTATCCTGTGTTTCTTTAGTCAGGTCATTGTTATATACATTATCTATTCAAATAGTAGAGCCTTTAATTTTGTCAGCTTTGGGGTATTTGTTTACTTTTGTAAACTCTCCCCAAAACCCCAAGTACCTTATTTCTTACTTAACAGGCAAGAAAGCAAACTTAGATGAACTACTTACCTAAGGTTTACTGAATTGGATAGGTAGGATCCAGTGGTTCTATCGGTTTGGTTTATTCATTTTTTTTGCCCTGCATTGTTCTGTATTTCATTGTCTTTTCTTTTTTTTTTTTGCTTTATTTTTATTTCTGTTTGTTTACATAGCTGTCTGAGAGAGTAGTGAATTAATGTTACAGTCTAACAGATGAATTCAGGAATTACACATTTCAGTCTGAAATCTTTGTGTACTTCCTCCCCCCACCCCCTTTGGTTATGAATGATCTCTGAAAACTTAGAATGCTGCCTTTCTTGAGCCCATCATTATGTTTTCCTTTTAACTATTGAGGTTGGTAGATTAAATGCTATAAATTAAGTAAATTGAGTAACTGAAAATAAACTTACAGATGAATGTTGTTCTTTCAGGTAGGATTATTGACTGTGCTTTTACTGTCACTTTTAATCCCAAATATGATGCATTATTAAAAGCTGTAAAAGATGCCACTAATACTGGAATAAAGGTATGTGAACTATAAGCACCGTTTCATAGAACATGTTTTAAGCATTTTATACTCTGTTTTACAGTCTGTGGGTAGTTAAGATGAATTACTTATTTCAGTGCCTCTAGAGTCTAGAGTGTGTAGTAAGTATACCAAAGGCTTTTTTAAAATTCACCTTTTCTAGTATTTATTAAAACTTAAGAGTTTGAATCTATTTTTGCCTGCCAAGTTGGCTGTTTTTTGTTGTGGCTTTTTTTTTTTGTAAATAGGCTTTATTTTTTGAGCAGTTTTAGAGTCACAAAAAAATTAAGCAGATAGTTTAGAGATTTTTCATGTATTTCCTTGCCCTCATCTATGTACAACTTCCTCTGCTGTCGACATCCCCCAACAAGAGGTACATGTGTTAAAACCAGTGAACCAACATTGACATCATAAACATTCAGATTCCTTAGTTTACATTAGGCTTCATTCTTAGTTTTGTACATTAATATTTTTTTAATATTTATTTTTTAGTTGTAGTTGGACACAATACGTTTAGATTTTATTTATTTTTTTATGTGGTGCTGAGTGTCAAACCCAGGGCCTCACCCGTGCTAGGCAAGTGAATGCTCTATCTCTGAGCCACAACCCCATCCCCCTTAGTTTTGTACATTCTGTGGTGAGTTTTTGTTGTTTTGTTTTTCTGAGTTTTTTTGGATTGTATTGGATATTGAACTGAGGTCCTTGTACCTGCTAGGTACTCTATCACTAAGCCATATCCCCAGCCCCCATTTTGTGGGTTTTTACAAATATGTAATGACATATTCACTGTCATACAGAATATTTTCACTTCCCTTCAAATCCTCTGATCTGCCAGTTCATCTTTCCTTCCTACAAATCCCTGGTGCAGCCTAGCTTCCCCCAGTCACCACCATGTAGTGTGTGAATGTGTGTGTGTGTGTGTGTGTGTTATAATACATACTACATAACATTTGCCATCTTAACCGTTTCTAAGTGTACAATTCATTGGCTTTAAGTACATTCACAATATTTTGCAGCCGTTACCAGCATTCATTTTCATAACTCTTTTCATCTAGTAAAACTGAAACTTCATACTTATTAAATAGTAGCTCCTGATTTTTCCTTCTTCACTAACCCCTGGCAAAAACCACTATACTGTCTATGATTTTGACTAATATAAGTGCTTTGCTGTGTAAGTGGAATCATAGTATTTGTTTTGTGATTAGTTTATTCACTTAGCATAATGTCCTCAAGCTTTACTCATGTTGTGACTTATGTTGGAATTTATAAGACCGAATAATTTATTGTATATCGGGAACAGTATTGACCAAATTATATTGTCATAAGAATTTATAAGACCAAATAATTTATTGTATATTGGGAACAGTATTGACCAAATTATATTGTTATATTTGAGTGTATGAATATGTAACATTGATCCCATTTATATATAATTATAATGCAACAATTGAAAATATAGAAAGAAAGAAAATTTTATGTGTATACCACATTTGCTCATCCATTCATGTATTGATGGACATTTGGGTTATTTCCGTGTTTTAGCTCTTGTGAATAATGCTGCTATAAATATGAGAGTACAGATATCTTTTAATTTTTATTATTTATTTTAATTAGGTATATGACAGCAGAATACATTTTGATTCATTGTACACAATTGCAGCACAATTTTTCATTTCACTGGTTATACACCATGGAGCATTGCACCATATGTGCAGTCATGCGTGTACCTAGGGCAATGATGTCTGTCTCATTTCACCATCTTTCCTGCCCCCAGACCTCCCTTCCCCACAAGTACAGATATCTTTAAAACACCTAGTTTGTCAGTTCTTTGGGTTATGTACCCAGAATTGGAATTACTGAATCATATGGTAATTTTTTAAAACTTTTTGCCATATGGCTCTACATTTTACATTTCCACTAACCTAACAGTGCATAAAGAAAGGTCTGTAGCTCAGTGGTAGAGCACTTGCCTAGTATGTGTGAGGAACTGGGCTCAATCCTTTGCACCACATAAAAATAAATAAATAAAGGTATTGTGTCCATCTGCAAACAAAAAAGGTTCCAGTTTCTCTGCATCTTTAACTTCACCTATTATTTATCTGGGTAGTTTTTTTGTTTTTTGTGGGGGGGGATTATTTTTTGTACTAGGGATTGAACCCAAGTGTGCTTAACCACTGAACCATATCCCCAGCTCTTTTTATTTTTTGAGGCATGTTTTCACTAAGTTGCTGAGGGCCTCACTAAATTGCTGAGGCTGGCTTTGAATTTGGAAATTCTCCTACCTCTGGGATTAGCCTCTGGGATTACAGGCATCTACCACCATGCCTGGTTCTTTTCTTTAATAGTAGTCATCCTAATGAATGTGATGTAGTGTCTCATTGTAGTTTTGATTTTCAGTTCCCTAATTATTAGTGAGGGGAGCATCTTTTCATTGCTTCCAAGTCATTTGTATATCATCTTGGGGAAGAGATCTATTCAAGTCCGTTGACCATTTTTTTAATTAGGTTGTTTTGTTGTTGAGTTTCAGGAGTCCTCTATATATTCTGAATATCAATCTCTCATCAGGTGATTTGCAAATATTTTCTTCTACTTTGTGAGTTGCCTTTTTATTGTGTTCATTTTGATGCATAAAATGTTTTCATGAAGTCCAGTGGTTGTTTTTTTTTTTTTCCTTTTGTTGTGGATTTTTTGTGTTACATCCAAGAAATTATTGCCCAAATCCAGCATTTTGAAGTTTGTGCCCAGTGTTTGCTTCTAAGAGTAAGTTTTAGGTCTTAAATTTAGGTCTGTTATCCATTTTAACTTTTGGATATAGCATTAGGTGAGGAATGGTCCATCTTTATTCATTTGTATATGGATATCCAGTTTTCCCAGCAGCATTTGTTCTAAAGACTGTCTTTTCCCCATTGGGCAGTCTTGGCACACTTGTCCAAAATATTTGACAGTCTGTATGAGTGTTATTTCTAGGCTTTATTCCATCCGTCTATGTCGGTTTTATGCAAGTCCCACACTGTATTAATTACTGTAGCTTTGAAGTAAGTTTTGAAATAGAAGGTATGAATCCTCCATTTTTGTGCTTATTTTTCAAGATTGTTTTGGCTATGCAGCATCCCATGGGGGGTGCCATTTGAATTTTAGAGTGGAGTTTTTTATCTCTATGAAAAACACCATTGGGATTTTTTTTGTTGTTGTTGTTGCTGTGGCTTTGGCATGCTAGGCAAGCCCTCTAAAACTGAGCTACATTATAGTCCCACCATTGAGATTTTGATGAGGATTGCATTTAATCTGTAGATGGCTTCAGGTAGTATAAATGTCTTAACAATCTTAAGTAATACAGTTTGTGGACATGGAATATGACTTCATTTATGTCTCTTAAAATATCTTTCAACAATGTTTTGTAGTTTTCATTATATAGGATTATTTCCTTGCTTAAGTTAATTTCTTTCAGATTGTTGTTAAATGTATAGAAATGCAACAGACTTTGTGTGAACTTTATATCCTCTACTTTGATGAATTTGTTAGTTTTTATAGGGTTTTTATTTATTGTTGTGGAATCTTAGGGTTTTCTACCTGTAACATCATATCATCTGTAAACAGAGATAGTTTTACTTCTTTCTTTCCAATTTAGATACCTTTTGTTTCCTTTTCTTGCTTAATCTGATTTGAACTTCCAGGGTTGAATAAAAATATCTGTGTAGTCATTCTGTCTTGCCTTACTTTTGGTCTTAGAGAAAACATTTTTGCTGTTGAATATCGTGTTTACTGTAGATTTCTTATAGGCACCTGACTTTTCATATGTTGAAGGTGGTTTCCTTCTACTCTTAAATATATACATATTCTTTCCTTCAGTGCTGAGTATCAAACCTAGGGTCATGCACATGTTAGCCAAGCACTCTTATCACTGAGCTACATACCCAACCCTCCTTCTGTTCTTAATTTGTTGAGTATTTTTAATCATAGAATTACATTGAATTTTGACAAATGCTTCCTTCTTCCCCCCTTTTCAGTATTGGGTTGGAGATTAAACCTAGAGTCTTGTACATACTAGGCAGGTACTATGCTACTGAGCTACATCCCTAGTCCATTTTGATTTTATTTGGAAACAGGCTTTTGCTGAGTTGCCCAGGCTGGCCTTAAACTTGCCATCCTCCTTCCTTAGCCTTCCAAATAGCTGGGATCATAGGATGTGGTACAACCACCATGCCTAGCTGTCAGATGCTTTTTATGCACGGAGATAATCATGTACTTTTCTCCCCTTCAAATCTGTATGTTAACATTGATTTTTATATGTGGAAACTACCTTTGCATTCCAGGAGTAAATCTCACTTAGTAATATGCTATAGGATTAAGTTTGGTAATATTTGTTGAAGATTTTGTATAAAGTATTTATTAAGAGATAGTGATCTGTAGTTTTCTTAGAGTGTCATTGTTTGCTTTTATATCAAATTAATGCTGATCTCATAAGATAGGTCATTCTGTCCTTTTCAATTTTTTGAAGAAATTTGAGAAGGATTGGTATTAGTTTTTGTTTTGAGGTTCTGTGGATTGAAACCATGACCTTGAGTATGCTAGCCAAGCTCTCTATCACTCTGCTGCACCCCCAGTATTAGTTGTTCAAGTGATAGAATTCACAGTGATGCCATCAGATCCAGGAATTTTCTTTGTCAGAAGAATTTTGATCACTGATTCAGTTTCCTTAGTAGTTACAAGTCAATTCAGATTTTGTATTTCTTTATGATTTAGTCTCGGTAGGTTTTGTATTTAGGATTTTGTCCATTTCATCCAGGTTATCTACTTGTAAATGTGTGGTTGTTTGTGGTTCTCTCAGAATCATTATTTTATTTCTGTAGAATCAATAATAATATTCCACTTTCTCATTTTAGTAATTTAAGTTTTTTTTTCCTTAGTCTATCTGGAGAATTATCAGTTTTGTTAATCTTTTCAAAGAACTTAACTTTTGATTTCATTGATTTTTTTTTTCTATTTTCTCTAATTCATGTATCTCTGCTCTAATTATTTCCTTCCTTCTGCTAATTTTGGGTTTAGTTTGTTTTTCTTTTTCTAGAAAGTTTCTTAACTGTTTTGTCCCATTGTCCCAGTTGTGGACAACCTATAGAAACTTAAATACAGTATATACTACATAATAATAATGAATGTAATTATAATAATATATAAGCTCTAGATTATGATTTCTAACACATTTTAGTGCACCTGTGTCTATTGTTGAAATAGTCACAGAATTGAAAATTTGACACTTAATGGGTTAAATTGTAATATTATGTTATTGATTTGAGATCTTTTTTGTTTTGTAATGTAAGCACTTACAGCTATAAATTTATCCATTAGTACTGCTTTTATTGTATCCCATAAGTTTTGGTATGTTGTGTTTTCACTTTGCTTTCCCCTTTTTTTTTTTGAATCTCTGTATGTTGCCCAGTCTGGCCATGAACTTCTGGGCTCAAGTGATCCTCCTGCTTCATTCTCCTCAGTAGTTGGGACTACAGTGTACCTGCACTGGGCTTGTATTTTTATTTTCTAATTACCCTCCTGATGTCTTCTTTAATCTATTAGTTTTTTTTTAAGAATGTATTGTTTAATTTCCACAATTTTGTGAATTTTCAAGATTTAATTTCATTATTAATTTTTCTTACTTCACCTCATTGATATTGGAGAGGATAACTTGGATGGTATCTATCTAATCTAAATTCTAATGAGACAGAATTGGAAAATGTCCTTTATGTACCTGAAAAGTATACATGTGCTCTGTTGTAGAAATTCCAACTGTGTATGTATGTCTGTTAGATCTAGTTTATTTATTAAGTCCTCTTGTTTATCTTCTGTTGAGTTTGTTTTATTTGTTAGGGAGAGTATAGTATTGACATTTCCAGCTGTTATTGGAGACTTGTCTGTTAATCCTTTCAGTTCTGTTAGTGTTTGCTTTGTATATTTTAATGGTCTGTTATTGGTGTTAATAATTGCTATATCTTGTTCCATTGAACCTTTTATTGAAATTTGAGGTCTTCCTTATCTCTCCTAGCCTTTTTAAGTTTTATTTTGTTAGATATTAGAGTGGCTGTCTTGGTTACTGTGTGCAAAAAATGTCTTTTTCTATGTTTTTACATTCAGTTTATTTATGCCTTTGGAGCTAAGCAGATTTCTTAGATATATAGCATGTAGTTAGATCATGCGTTTTTATGCATTCTGCTAATCTGTGACTTTTCATTGAGAGTTTAATCCATATTACTGATAAAGGAAGGTATGGTTTCATTTTGCTATTTTCTGTATAACTTGTAACTCTTTTGTCTCTCATTTCCTACATTGCTCTCTTTGTTTAATTGATGTTTTTGTAATGAAATGTTTACTTCTCATTTTTTTTTTGTGCCTATTCTATAGATATTCTCTCTATGGTTACTATGAGGATTACACTTAATATTTTAAAGTTAAATCCCCAGTGTGAATTTTTTTGAGCCATGTATACATTTTCCAACTTAAATTTGTACCGCGATACATACCATAATAACATTTAGATTAAAACTAAGTTTTAAAAAATATGTTAGTTATGTCATGTAAAAAAGAAAAAGTGGAGTTAGAAATCATCATTAGACTAATGGTAGCAATTAGTTCTTCATATAATTGAGCTACTATCTAGTGCCCTTTCATTATATACTTTGTGGGACTTCCTTGAGCATTTCCTGCATGGTAAACCTAGTAGTAATAAACTCTGTCAGCCTTATTTATCTGGGAATGCCTTTATTTATCTACCTTACTTTTGAAAGACAAGTTTGCTGGATATAGAATTCTTAGTTGACAGTTTTGTATTTTTTAGCATTTTGAATATATAATCTTACTACCTTCTTGCCTCTGGAATTTCTGATGAGAACTCTGCCTGTAATCTAATTGAGGATTCCTTATATGTACTGAGTCATTTCTTTCTAGTTGCTCTCAAGATTCACACTGTCTCTAGAAAGTTTTTATTATAGTATGTCTTGGTATATAGGTCTCTGTGTTTATCTCTTGGCATTTATTAAACTTCTTGAATATTTGTGTCTTTCATCAAATATGGTAGGGAACAGACATTTTTTCTTCACATTCTCTCTCTGCCCCTGTTTCTCTTCTCCTTCTGAGACTCCTACAGTGCATGTATTGGTCTAGTTGACAGTAACCTATCGGGTCCTCTTATCTTCAGTTTTGGTGATCCTTTCTTTGTATTTCTGCCAATGATGGACACTCTTTGTTAATATAATGCTATTGGTTAATAAACATTTGTGTACAAGTTAAAAAGGAATCCTTCTCACTAGAAAGATTTTCATTTTGGTTACTGCACTTTGTGGCTTCAGAATATTTTTTGGTTTCCTTCAGGTTTTTTAAATCTCTTTATCTCCATTTTGTTCATACATTTTTTTGCTGGACTTCATATCTTCCTTTAATTCTTTGGACAACTTTAAGATAGTGGTTTTAAAGTCTTTGTCCAGTAGATCTCCCTCACATCTCTTTTAGAATAGTTTCTGCTGATTGATTTGTTTCCTTTGAATGGGCTACTTTTTCCCAATTTGTATGCAAACTGATCCCCACCCCCCTTTTTGTAGTTATAGGTGGACAGAATGCCTTTATTTTATATGTTTATTTTTATTTGGTGCTAAGGATTGAACCCAGTGCTTCACACATGCTAGGCAAGCTCTCTGCCACTGAGCTACAGCCCCAAGCCCTCTCCTCTTTCTTTATTGCAAGTGTTCCCTGTCAAGAGTCCTCCTGCTATGTAAACTTAAGGTCTTCTCAGATTTTTTCTGGGCATTTTCCCCTGGGTATGTGTGCTCCCCTTTTAATGATCTCATATATTGTTTTGAAAGTACTGATCTTTAATGTTTAGCTCCTAAAAGAGGAAAAAGACAAATGAGGAAGTCCAAGATATTTGTGTGTGTGTGTGTGTGTGTGTGTGTGTGTGTGTTTGGTGGTGGTGCTGGGGATTGAACCCACAGCCTGGAGCACGTTAGGCAAGTATCTCTACCACTGAGCTGCGCCCTCAGCCCCCTCCAAGATATTTGAGACAGTTTCTTTTCAGCTACTTCTGGCTTAGCCCGGCTGTGTGGAGGTTATTATAGGAACCACCTGATGCTTCCCATGCAGGTTTTAACTTTAGTAAATTTCCAGCATTTCCATAGATCCATCAGATAGATTTTGCCAATGCTTTTGTTGTTTGGGTAGGGACACAGATTCCTGCTACAAATTCCTGATTATATGTTCCTTACATTGCTCAGAAACAAACCACATCATTAATTTTATTATAGTCAAAGAAACTTGGGTTTACTCCTGGTATTTCTTATTTCACCATCTTTCCAGAATATTCCCCAAAGTTTATTATACAGGTATTTTTGATGTACAAAGCACTTTTTCTGATTGTCCTTTATTTTTAAATACTAAAAAATTAAGTCACTGCACAACTTTACTCTGTGAAAAACAAAGTTTACTTTATTCTTTTTTTAGTGTGCTGGAATTGATGTTCGTCTATGTGATGTTGGTGAGGCCATCCAAGAAGTTATGGAATCCTATGAAGTTGAAATAGATGGGAAGACATATCAAGGTATGGTCTTTAAAAATGTATCTTATTTTGAAATTAATTTTTTCAAACTACTGTTGATTGCTTTCTTTGGATCAACTCTTAGGTGCATGCTAGAAGTACTATGGTCACTGACAAGTCATCTGGGAAATTATTCTAAGGTAGCCAAAATTTGAACTAATTTCTATAACTAGTAAAATCAAGGATTAGGGAAAAGCCAGAGTCCCTTTCTACTGATGATTCTCCAATATTTCTGGTGTGCTGCATTCATTTCCATCAGTTCAGCCTTCTTCCAGCTCCCAGATTCTATCTGACCGTCCCCAGCCATAGTTCTTCCTGATCTGTGCTTATGACTCTCTATAACTCTGTTCTAATAATTTTCTTGCAGACTATTTCTTAACCACGTCTGTTTGTCATTTGTGGACTTTTGAGTGGAGGCTTGTCCTGCTTCCTTGTCTCTCAGTAAATTCATGTCATTCAGTCATGTCATCCCTCTAGGTATTACCAGTTACCTGATAACTCAGTGGCTCTCGCCTCCATAACAGTCCTTTCCCATGTGTGAATACTGAAACTTACCACCAGTCTTGTTCTCTTAGACAACTATTAGTCTTTTTTTTTTTTCTCCAGCTATTTAATTTCCCTTACTGTAAATGTCTTCCATTTCCTTTTTAATAACCTTTGGGGGCTAGGGGTGTACCTCAAGTGGTAGAACATGTATGCTTAGCAGGCATTAGGCCCTGGGTTTGATCCCAACACCCCCTTTCCCCCCCCAAAAAAAAATGTACACACACACATATATTCATTCCCTCTGGTGGGTCACTCTCACGGTTGCATCATGGTTGAATGTCCTTTCTCTTGCCTAGCCCTCATGTCAGTGTTAATTCTTCTCTTTCATCTGTACCTTCAACTTCATTATTTCTATGACTTTCATGCACATTAAGTCACTAGCCCTCAGAACATCAGTTGAAGCCAGAATACTCTAAGGCTGTTAACCTTTGGATAGGAAATATTGTGCCATAGTGAAGAAACAAACTTTGAGGTTAGACATGTCTAACTTTGATCTTAGATAAATCCTATAACCTCTAAATACCCAAGTTTCTTTGATTATAGGATTAATCATGGGATTTGTTTTTGAGAAATATAACAGTTCCCGGAACTTAGGCACTCAGCAAATACTTGTCATTTTTCCCTGTTCTTTCCCCCAGTTCTGGGATATCTCATGAATATAGTCCTTGATCAAGATCCTCTCAAAGTCTTTTTTTTTTCCTTCTCTCAGGAAATTACTTTCTTGAAGAGAAAAATAATTAAAGAAACCAAATATACCTTAATTTTTGCCCTGATGCAAAAAGAAAATCATACTTCTTCTCTGTTCTTATAATTTTATCACTCTTATTTGAAGAAAAAGGATTTTTTACTCAGCGTTAATCCTGACACCTTAATAGCCCTCTCCTACGTTCTCTGTCTTTCCCCAGAAGCTCAACTGAAAAAAAATATTTGGAAGAGCTGAAAGTCATAGGATTAGATTACCTCCCATAATTTATATATTTTGTTTCTGGCTTTTATTATGTGAAATTTTTAAAAACTTAATTCATATGAAAAGCAGTGGATTTAAATTAGCTCATCCCTTAGTTAAGGGTGAAGCTTCTTTTCCAGGTTGCTTTTCTTTGCGAAATATTATTTTTCCGGTTCTTTTTAAGAAGTTAGAAACTGGGGCTGGGGATGTGGCTCAAGCGGTAGCGCGCTCGCTTGGCATGCGTGCGGCCCGGGTTCGATCCTCAGCACCACATACCAACAAAGATGTTGTGTCC